TTATACGCTATTAGCTAGTACCTTTTCAATCTTTTGAAAAAATCTTATAGTCCAAATTGATTCATAATACAATTTACAACAACGTTCATTGTACCATTTTCTTAAAGATAATGTCCAAGTTATTCAAAACATGTAGTACGTTTACATTTATATACCAATAAAAAAAAGATATTCTCCTTGTAGGCTGGTGGAAAACCTATGGAGCTGGCTGCATTATCATGGTTAGGTCAGAAGTGTTTAATTTCAGAATTCAGAGACCTTTCCTGGCTATGGCGGGCTAGCTTAGTTGACTTCAGATTCAGCATTCTTAGTTGTAGTCTGCCGAATCTGTTTGAGTTTGGGGTGCTGTAACTTCTTCTTGTGTTATCCTTCTTCCCTTGACTAAATTGCCAATGAAGCAGCAGAAAAATATAACTATAGACATGAAGCTCGCTAGTCTTCTCTCTTTCTGCGTTGAAAAAATGGTGATGTTGGGAGGAAGCCAGTCAAGCCAAGCCACGCTTTGGACGAAGATGGCGAAGGTGAGAAAAAAGAAGCAGCAGAAAAAGAGCTGCACCAGCCGGGAATCGAACCCGGGTCTGTACCGTGGCAGGGTACTATTCTACCACTAGACCACTGGTGCCATTTGTTATCGAAGGAGAGCATAAAAGCTTAACTACCATCATGCACTTTATCACGTTCATTTTTATTACAAGGGAGAGCAATCTGTAAAGACTCAAGACCTGAGCTTTCTATTATCAACTCAATGTTTATATAGTACAATTCAGCAGAGTGTGCAACGGAAGAAAAGTAACAGAAGGAGTGAAAGCTGGAGAGAAAAGTGGAGTACAACGTTCCACAAATAACAAATAACAAGAAGCCTAAACTGCAGGAGGCAGGTATACTTCATCACCCCCGCAAGTTGAGGCTCGGAGAGACGAAACTTGGAGCAGAACTTGGTGAAGGGTTGTCGAGGTAATGGTTTAGTGAGGACATCTGCAAGTTGATCGGGAGCCGGAAGATAATGCACGTGAAGCTGCCCTTTGCTGACTTGATCACGTACAAAGTGGAACTCGATTTCCATATGCTTCGACCGATTGTGAAACACCGGATTATGAGCAAGGAAAGTTGCTCCTAGGTTGTCACACCAAAGAGCTGGAGCTGAGGGTAGCTGCTGCCCTAATTCAGTGAGTAAAGACTGTAACCAGAGAACCTCCGAAGCCAGAGTAGCAAGAGCACGATATTCACATTCGGTAGATGAGCGGGCAACAAACTTTTGTTTCCGAGTGGACCAGGAAACCAGATTGGAGCCGCAGAATACGGCGAACCCAGTGACAGACTTGCGATCCTGTGGGCAAGATGCCCAAGAGGCATCTGAGTAGCCATGAACATGTAGAGATGAAGATTTGGTGATGACCAGTCCACGATCGATAGTGCCTTTCAAGTATCGTAGAATCCGTTTTACAGCGGCCCAATGATTATCCGTTGGGGCGTGCTGGAATTGAGAAACATGATTCACTGCAAATGCAACGTCTGGGCGAGTAAAACTGAGATACTGCAGACCACCAACTATGCTGCGATACATGGCTGGATCTGTGAATAGAGGCGAGGAGGACAGGGCAGACTGTTGAACTATGTCAGTTGTGCAGGGTGTGGAGATTGCATTTGCCTCGGACATATGAGCACGTTCAAGTAAATCCTGGACGAACTTGCGCTGCCGAAGAAGAATTCCAGTGGGCGTGCGACACACTTCAATGCCAAGGAAATAGGACAGAGGGCCCAACTCACGAAGAGCAAAGTTGTCGCGGAGAAATGTGAACAGCCTCTGTATGAAAGATGAATCATTGCCTGTGATGACTATGTCGTCAACATAGACGAGCATATAAACCCGAGTTGGACCAGTCTTGCAGATGAACACGAGTCGGAAATCGGGCGACGAGGAGGCAAGGGCGTCGGTGTTCGGCGAGAGGAAGAGATTGGGGACGAGGGAGAACGAAGGAGGGTAGGTGGAGAAGGCGGGTTAATTTGGGCCTGGGATATGGGCTGGTTGGAGGATGGTGGGTTGGTAAGTGGTGTAGGAGTAGTTGGGTGAGGATGGGCCGGGGATGATTGCTGGATAGCTATAGAGGAGGGAGAGGGAATAGATGGTGTAGGACGATGAGGGTGATTGGTGGGAAAACGACGACGCTGATATTGAAGTAGAGGGCGAGTTGGGTGGGAGGAAGTCTCTGGATTGGTGGGCTGGGGAAGAGGCTGCAGGGGAGTTGGAGAACCGGGCAAAGGCTGATTTGGGCTAGGAAAGTGATCGGTAATGGGCCGGGGAAGGGCAGGGGGAGATGGGCCAGGGAGAGCTGCAGACGGAGGAGGAAGCAAAATGGGCTGGGAAGTAGAAATAGTGGGCAAGGATGGGGAGGGGGTAGTCAACTCGGCAAACGGAAAACGAGACTCATCAAATAAAACATGGCGACTAACATAGATCTGACCAGTGGGAATGTGAAGGCAACTATAACCCTTCTGTAGTTTGCTGTACCCAAGAAAAACACATGGAACAGACCGAGGAGCCAATTTGTTTGGAGTGAGGGGACGAAGCCAAGGGTAACAGAGACACCCAAAGACACGAAGATTAGTGATATCGGGGGCGCGGTGAAAAAGGAAATGAAAGGGGGAATCATGAGCAAGAAGCGGAGTAGGAGTGCGATTGATGAGATAACAGGCTGTGTCGAAAGCAAGAGGGCAGTATTTTAGGGGGACATTGGCTTGATGGAGAAGAGCAAGACCGTTATTAACAATATGCCGATGTTTACGTTCGGCGCACCCATTTTGTTCAGGAGTATATGGTCAGGAAGAGCGATGAGCAATGCCATTTTGGGCGAGATAAGTGGATAGGGCTTGATATTCGCCACCCCAGTCGGACTGAAAAGTTTTGATTGGGAGGTCAAAGAATTTTTCCACTAATTGCCGAAATTGAATAAACACATTAAGCAATTGTGATTTATAACGAATAAAATAAATCCACGAGAATTTGCTATAATGGTCATGAAAAATAATATAATAGGATTGCTCATCGTAAGACAAAATAGGAGCAGGACCCCATACATCACTACAGACGAGTTCAAGAGGAGCATGAGCATGAAATGTAGAAACAGAAAAAGGTAGTTTGTGGATTTTACTGACGGCACAGCCATGACACAAAGAAGGAGAAGATGGGTCGAATTTAATTTTATTCTGGTGAAGGACTTGCTTGACCGCACATGCGTGAGCATGCCCAAGCCGGCGATGCCAAGTATCAAACAAAGCCACACAAGCAATGGGGGAAAGTGATCGAGAAATAGTGAGGGGAAGCGAGTAAAGACCATCCACGGCAAAGCCACGATGAAGTTCACGCCCCGTGCGTCGGTCCTTGATGAGAAAAAGAGAGTAAAAAAATTCAATCGATATAGGATTAGAACGAGTGAGAGAGCTAATGGAGAGAAGATTGTAGGGAGCATCACGCACATGCAGAATATTATCCAAAGAGATTGAAGTATTGGATAAAGAAGTTGAGGAGGAGCCAAATCGAGAGATGGGAAGAGAGTTACCGTTGCCAAAGGTCACTTGGTCAGTCCCGTTGTACTCAGAATGATGAGCAAGGTTGTCCAATTCCGAGGTGAGATGATGATTCGTACCCGAATCCAGAATCCATTGGTGAGAATCGAAGGGCTGGACTGGGGAGGAAGAGTATAGTGTGTGTGGGCCAGCAGGAGCACGGGAAGGACGAGGGTGATAAGGCTGGACAGATTGGGCCGAGGTAGGGTTCTGAGGAATCAGTGGGCTGGGGCAATGAGGCTTTATGTGGCCTCTTCCTCCACAGTTGTAACAGACCATACCACCGGTGGGCCGAGGCCCAAGAATCCCACTCGCTGGGCTTGACCTGCCAAAGGAATCAGAAACAAAAGAAGGGTTAGAGTAGCGACCACGACCATAGCCGCGACCTCTGCCAGGGCCGCCTCTGCCGCGGAATCCACCAACGCAGAAGAAGAAAGCCGACGGAGCTGGAGAGTCAGAGTGAGAAGCATATCGCTGGATCTGAAGTTCTTCACTGAGGAGAAGGGAATGGAGATTTTCGAAACTGATGGGTTCCAGCCTGGCCTCAATGTGACGCACGAAAGGCCGATAGTCTTCACCCATACCATCTAGGATCCAAGCTGTGAGATCTTCGTTTTTGACAGGGGATCCCAGGGCCGCCAATTGATCCGCCTTGCTTTTGGCATTTTGAAGGTAGTCATGAATACTGGCGTCGCCGCGACGGATGGTTTGGAGTGTCTTAGTGAGCTGCCGAATCTGGATTTGCAAACCAGAGGCGTAGATAGTGGCAAGAGCTGACCACGCATCAAACGCTGTGACCTTGTTGATGATGTTGGGCATTACAGATTCAGAGAGGGAAAAATTGATCAAAGTAAGTACATATTGATCTCTTTGGTACCAAGTCCAGTAGGCTGGATTGGATTGGCCATCAATAGATTGTGGTGGAGCAGGAAGAGAGCCATCGTCATGGCCCATCAAACAGTGACAGCGAAGAAGCGGGATTATTTGAGCATGTCATAGGAGGTAGTTGGTTGGTGTGAGTTTGACACTGAGCTAGGGATTGGCTGGGAGAGAGATAGCAGAGAAAGTGGACGACATAGAGGCAGAGTCGCCTGAAGCAGAGGAAGAAGAAATTGAGGATGATTCGGTGGCCATGGTGTGGCAGAGGAACAGGAAGAAGAACAGAGAGGAAAGACAGAAAGAGGATTTTGATTCGTTAGAGTTTAAGTAGGCTCTGATACCATAAAGACTCAAGACCTGAGCTTTCTATTATCAACTCAATGTTTATATAGTACAATTCAGCAGAGTGTGCAACGGAAGAAAAGTAACAGAAGGAGTGAAAGCTGGAGAGAAAAGTGGAGTACAACGTTCACAAATAACAGATAACAAGAAGCCTAAAATGCAGGAGGCAGGTACACTTCATCAATCTGAACTGACTGAAAAGAGAAGGAGAAAGATGGTGCAAAAGGAATCTGTTAGCCATTAGCCGAGAGGATCATCACATACAATGTTATAACAAACAGCTTGTAAATTGTACACTGGAGGAACAACGGCCACCAGTTATGGTGAAAATTTAAACAAATGAACGTTAACCTACCTGTTATGCACAACAAACAATGGATCCTGACTACAGTAACGAATTGCTGTATAGTACTGTAACTTAAATCATATGTCAGCAAACCCGTCGTCATCGCCATCGTCGTCCCAATCTATGTCGAACGAGTTGGCAGACTTGGTGAGCTCTGTAAGTCCCGTGAGATCAGCTAAGTAGGTAGGATGGTTGATTGCTTGAAGAAGGAATTCCAACCCTCTTTCCCTGTACTCCTTCACAACCTGAAAAGGAGAAAGAAATACAACCCCAGCCGACATTTCACTTCATGTCTAAACAAGGTATGTAAAGCAAGGAACAAAAGGGAGAAGCAGTCAGAAAAAGAAAACTTACTGTCAAGGAACAAGCAGTGCACCTATCGAAGGAGCGCCCCACGAGCTTCATCTGCGAGAAATCGAAGAGATAACCTCTAATCTGATGCGGCAAGATGCCAAGCGCCAGCTCACTGTCGACACAAGCAAATGTCCTGTAAAACGGTAATTGTTCGATCAGATGCCAAGGGAAGATGAAAATTTTAAGGTTGAAAACAACATGATTTCCTATTTTACCCATCAGGGTGGTGCAGCATGTTCACGCAGAGTTCGACAGCGAGAGATGAGGCATTGGAAGCGAGTCCTGGACGTGTAACGGTGCACTGTTGGTCCAAAGTGCGGTTTGATGTTGACTGCAGAAACAGTATGATTAGAGGCGGCAAATATATTGGTTTGCTGGGTTTCTCCAGAATTAACCTAATAATCCCAAAATACTTTGAATAAGAGTAACAGAGTTTTTCAGCAAAATTACATCGGTTGGTTGGACGACATCATTGCAGAAGTAACAGCCCAATCTCTGCTGTTCTCTATTGGATAAAGCGAGGCTCTCCATCTCATCAGACAGAGCATTTGCAGCGTCGGCTTTTGAGGCATTGGGCAAAGGGCCAGGTCCATGCCGCATTACAAGGAAGCTATCGAACCCTAGGGCTGCAGTTATAGTGATCTAGAGAAGGATAATGAATTGAAGATGATAAGATATCAGGTTGAATCCAAATAAGACAAGCAATTAGTTCAACAAACTAAAGTTATAAGGGAAAAACCTTGTTAGCATTTGCACAAAGAAGGCTGGGAAGCCATCTGCTTTCTCTCGTATCGGTCAATAAGAAGACTGCGTCATGAGAATCAATCAAGTTATGCAGACGAGTACAATCATCTATTACTCCATCCACTTCTTGGCTAGTGGCTGGATGCCCAGGCATCGGTATAGCCATGACAACACCTTCAGCCTCCTAAAAAAGGCATGGACGACAGATCCTCAGTTCAGAGTGAACAATGAAGCGAGAGATTACAGAAACGTCAGGAAGTACTTTCACATTGATTCACTTACAACAGCTGGAAATATTCTCTGGAGGCTTGTGACTGCTGCCAAGGCTTTATATTTACCACCATTAAGACAGTCATCAAATGTATACAGGGACTGCCTCAGTGGATTAGACATAGCCACCTTTCCATTGTCGAGTAGTGTAATCTTACGGACGCCCCAAGCCTACAGGTCCATCAAATAGTTAGGGAAATTCAGATGCTTCAAATATGAAACTAAGAGGGTATCTTTCAAAAACACTCACCATGAGCCTTCGAGCAACCTCACAACCGAGGGTCCCTGCTCCCAAAAGAAGACACTTCGTAGAAGCCAACTTATCTAAGTCAAGCGAAGGAAGAGCACGCCAGCGCATCAGTTTCAAATTTAGATCAGCTGCAGATATGGCCAGCCTGTTAAAAATACGTAAATATATCAGAAGAGTTGTGAATCAGAGTTGTGAATCATTAACATGGAGTACGATGTAGCAGCAAGTGCAAGTGCAACAAACCTAGTTGGATCCATTGATTTAGCAAGGGTAATAGACCTCGGAACAGCTCTATCTTTGTTAAGCTCCCAACCTACTGCATTAGGTAGGTCCTTATGATCCCTATGAAATTGCAGACCAGTTAGACTACCACCAACTTTCAACAAAATCAAATTGAAAAGATTGATAAGATGACTTAGAGCAGTTACCCAATTTCAGCCCAGACTACCTTGTGGAACCATGAAGTAAGACTTTGCCAACAAGGGATAACCCAAGATCAGCAAAACCACGACTCTCTCTGTAGCAAAACAAGTCGACACTCTTGAGATTCCAACTCGAACAAATCAGTGCCAGAAGATTGCGAAGGGGCCAACCAGGGTTGCTCGGAAGATGACAAGGGTCATAAAAACCAAATAGAAGCTGCCAAATAGCAGGGGTAATGTCTTTAGCATTTAGCCGACTTACACAAATAACCTAACCGTTTCCCCAGTTCAACACCTAGGACGCATACCTTTTGACCATCACCTTGACAGGCTTCCCAGTCCTTTAGATGCCTAATCGAGGCACGGGAATCAGAAGCAATTGAGACCAAGAAAAATGGCACACCTGTTACCGAGCATCACAAATGAATTAATCCCATACACTAACCAGATAAACACAAACCGGGATCTTTAACAAGTTACTAAAATTTACCAGCTGTGGAGTTTGAGCTGCGCCATTCATTACAAGCCTTCGATACAGATTCAGCCTGGACATCACAAGTCATCGATCGTGTAAGTATTCACAAAAGTAAGAAAACAAATATCATCCCTCAACTATCCGAATTTTTGCAGCACCTCATCCAATGTAAACCACTGAGAAGCAGCCTTCAATTCTACCATCGTTGCAGGAGGATCAAGCACCAAAGCAGGGAAAGCAAACCAGTAATGAAAGCTCCATTTTTTCAGATCAGCAAATGATATAACAAGGAACCTCGATAGCAGAGCAGAGTCTTCCATCGCTCTCCCACTTTGGATATCTTCCCATATCTAACAATGTACAAAACAATCAATCAGCTACATATCCAAAATTCAAACTTATTCAACAAAGGCCAATTCACCTTCTTGGCTTCCTGCTTTAGCAAACTCTTCTTATCCAAAGCACGGAAGTCTTCCAATGTATTCGTATTGTACAGAATGCCAGGGACAGAACACCGATTCCTGTTTCCGCTAGCAATGGCTGGCACTGAAGATTGTTCATCTTCATCAGCTGGCAGAGATTCAGCAACCAGAGTCAAGTGATTTGACACTTGAGAATGCGAGCAAGGCGCGTAGAAACCTGCAAACACATGAACCAAACCAAACCAAAGCTCAGTTCCAGTTTACTTCGTTCAATTCACTTGCAGTAATTGGGAAATTCGGGGAAGGCGCTTACCGGTGATGGGTATGGGAGAATCGTCGATTCGAAACTTGTTCAGCTTCAAAGAAGACAACCTGTGCCAGAAACCCTCGTCGACGGAGCTCTGAAACGGCGCGAATTGCAGGATTGATCCATTCTCTCTTTTCGCCGCCATAGCTCGGGGGATTGCAAGCTTCGCCGGTGGCCGTGGATTCTTCGGTCTGATCGATTTTGTCGAGATTTGCGTCGCCGATTATAGTTGGAAATAGAGTATACTTCCACGCTAACAAAAAAGCTCCAAAGTAGAGTCCTTTTTTTAATGAAAGTTTATACCTTTTCTTTCGATGCTTAGGAAAAGAAGAAAAGAAAAAAACAAAGCAAAAAGTAAACGTGAGGTGGAGGCCGCAGTGCCACGAGTTCATCGACTGATTAGTTACTACACTACATAACAGCCTCTCGGTTCTTCTACTTTTCTGTTTAGCGGGACCGAGGCAGCCATGGAAGCTCTTACAATTTCCTCCTCTGTTCTATCGCTTAACTTCCCTGCTGCTTCCCCCGGCGACACACACATATCCAAACCCAAGTCGCCAAATTTCCGGTGTTTTCCGGAACCCATTTCATCTTTCCGGGGACGGCTTACCCACAGATCAAAATCCAAGCTTTTTCCTTCCAACGCCATATCCTCACCATCGCCGCCGTCCTCTGTTTCAGCGGAACCGTCCCCGCCGGAAATTGAAGAAGAAGTCGCCGTCGGCGAGGAGAAGTTCGACTGGTACGCGCAATGGTACCCGGTGATGCCGTTGTGTGATCTGGACAAGAGGGTCCCACATGCGAAGAAGGTATTGGGGATTGATGTGGTGGTGTGGTGGGACAGGAACGAGAATGCATGGAAGGTGTTCGACGATATGTGTCCGCACCGCCTGGCTCCGCTCTCCGAAGGAAGGATTGACCAATCGGGAAGACTGCAATGCGTTTATCACGGTTGGTGTTTCGATGGCTCCGGCAACTGCAAGCTCATCCCTCAAGCTCCTCTCGATGGCCCTCCTGTAAAATCTCTTGCTTCAGCTCTTCATATTCTATGCCTTAAGTTTTTTGCAGAAGTAAATTAGTAATGTTGGGATGAATTTTGGGGGGAAAATTGTAGGTTCACACCAACAAAAGGGCATGCGTTGCAGCTTATCCAACGATAGTGCATCATGACATAGTGTGGTTTTGGCCCAACTCTGATCCTCAATACAAAGACATCTTTGAGAAGAAGAAACCTCCATTCATTCCCGAGTTGGATGATCCATCGTTCACTAAGCTGATGGGGAACCGAGATATTGCTTACGGGTAATGCTCTAGATTCTGGTTTGATTGGAAGCAATTACTTGTGCTCTTGGCTGAATAAATTTCTTTTTATCAATGTTTGAGGTCTTAGGTATGATGTATTGGTTGAGAACCTTATGGATCCAGCTCATGTTCCCTATGCGCATTATGGTCTGATGCAAACAAGGAAGCCAGATGGTAGGTTTCGACTTCTGATGGGCCATTTAGCTCATTACTGTGACTAACATTTGGTTTTATTATTCCTCAAGTAACTTAAAGCTGGAAATCGTGTTTCAGTAAAGAGAGACAGAGAAGGTGGGAGACCACTTGATTTTGTAGTGAAGAAGCTAGACATGGATGGATTCTATGGAAAATTGGATATGGGCATCGGTCAATTCACTGCACCATGCATCTTCTCGCTCCGTACAAATCCTACACCCTCGGAAGATCAAGTTAATGGTGTTGTGGCATCAGCTTCCGAGACCAAGAAGGTAACTTTGCATAATATTGATCTTAGATTTTGCTTGATGCTTTGATTTTGTGAATCTAACTGGCCTTTCTGATGATTCATTACTATGTACTTTGTCATTTTGCAGCCGTCAACCCAGCGTAGAATGGCACTGGTGTTCATTTGTATCCCAGTTAGTCCAGGTTATAGCAGATTAATATGGGCCTTCCCGAGAAACTTTGGAGTTTGGCTTGACAAAATTATTCCGAGATGGATGTTCCATGTTCCGCAAAACCTGATTCTGGATTCAGATTTGTACCTTCTTCATCTTGAGGTTCTTATTCCTGAACCTCCAAAGCTAAACTTCTTGAGAATTCTCCCTTTTTGTGAACCATAGTTTGCATTAGTTCGAGCATTGACTGGCCATATAAATGTTCTATACAGGAGCGCAAAATTAAGGAATTCGGCCCTACCAATTGGCAGAAGGCGTGCTTCGTGCCTACTAAGTCCGACGCCCTTGTGGTTGGCTTCAGAAGATGGTTCAACAAATATGCCGGTGGTGAAGTTGACTGGAGAGGCAAGTATTCTGGCGATCTTCCCCCAACACCCCCAAGAGAACAGCTTCTGGACAGGTATTCCGAGACAATCTTATCCAAATGTTCGTATTCATTTCCACAGTCTTCGTTTCTCATTGTGATTACCTATAGTAAACTACAATGAGGCATCACTTTGAGCGGAGGAGGAGTTAAAATACCTATAAACTGCGCGTCCATCTTCTACACACGGCCTAACTGACTTATCCGTTTCCAGGTACTGGACTCATACAGTAAACTGCCAAAGTTGCAGTAAGGCACACAAGAGCCTCAATGCCCTTGAGACCATCCTTCAAGTGGTAGCTGTTGGATTAGTCTGCGTAGTTGCAGCAACCATGCAGGGTGCGATGTCAACAGCTGCAAGAACTGGGCTGGCAATATTGGCAACAGCATGCTTTGCAGCTTCGAGATTGTTGGCTCATTTCGTTCATAAGAACTTCCGTTACCATGACTACAATCACGCTTTTGTTTGAGGCAGCGATGGAATGGAAGCTTCACCGAGAAGCCTTTGCTGCGATGCGAAGCTGCTCTTAGCGCCGGGGAGAAGGTTTGATAAACGTATGCTGGTAGTTTTGTATAGATATAAGATAGCAGTTGTCTACAAAAGTGTATCTTGTCAAGTGAATCAACATATCAAATACAGTAGCAACCTTGGTTAGCAGCCAACTCTTCGCCTGGGATAGGGAGTTGTCGAGCTCATTGTAACGATTAAAGAATACAGTTCAGATTCCAGACCGTTAAAAGTTAATCTACCCATTGATCCTGGGAGTCAGAGCTGTAAATTACCAGTTACTCTCATCACTGCTAATCTACGTTCTTAATATTAATGCATTGTGATGATGAAGTGGCCTTAGCTCCTAATGTTTTCTTGAAGACTATGTTCTTTGATGATGTTTGACGATTTTAGCAGCCATCGACACAATGGAGAACGGGCTTGGTTTTCATGTGTATCCCAGTTAGCCCATATCACAGTAGAGTAGATTAATATGGGCCTTCCAAGAAACTTTGGAGCCTGGCTTGACAAAAATGTTTCAACATGGACAGTGGCAGATCCAGGACATATAGAGCACTCGACCATTTTTCATTAAAAAAATTAAATATCGTAAAAAAAGTATAATGATCATAATTTTCTTTATAATGTCAATTATACATGACGTTCTTTTAGTTTAGCGAATTCATCGGTAATGAAGTTTTCATCCATACCAATAGCACATTCTCTTTCAAATAAAATAGTTAAGCAATCAACGAGAAATTCATTGCTGATTTTGTTGCGCAAATCAATTTTCACATGTTTAATTGTTTAAAAGTTTCTCTCAGTAATAGCCGTTAAAACGGGCAACGTCAACTAGATGAATCAACCGACTAATCAATTTGTAATTTGTGTCTATTCCTATTTCCACCAGCTTCTCTAGTAGTTTTGCCAAGCGCACAAATCTCATATTTCTTTTAGACTTCTAAGTTTTAGACTTTTAGATTTTATTGTTGTTTTTTCAAAAATGAATTATTGGGGATAGAATTTCTAAGCTGAATTTAGAGTAGTGAGTTGAATACGTTCATCTTAATTATTTTCTTAGTTACACAGTTTTATTATAAAATAACACCAGACTGAATGACTAAAATCAAAAAGTTCGTAAATGCATTGCTAGCTCTGGATCTAGATGAGGGTTGGACTATGACCCGAGGTGGCCACCCATGGATCCGCCACTAAAGATGGATATTCAAAGTGTGGTTTAACTTGGATTTGGATTCAGATTTGTACCTTCTTCGTTTTGAGGTGATTATGTTCCTCCGAGACAATGTTTAGCTCCCTTGCGTTCGAGCATTAACTCGCCCAAGAAAACCTTTAAGCAGGATCGCAAAATAATAGAAATCAAGGAATCCGACATTAGAAATTGGCAGGAGGCATGTTTTGGGCATTGCTATTCGTCGCACTAAAACATCTTATCCGTCGCCTTAATATTTACTAAAATTACTTAAATAGCTGTAATGTAGTTTTTATTTTTCAAAACCACATAAATACTAAAACAAACACAAAGAAGTATAACCAATAACAAAATAATAATCAAATATAAAATATAATCAAATAAGAATTCCACCTTGCAATAAAAAAATAAAAAAATAATTGGAAACCAAAATGAGAAGATTCTCTCCACCGTAGATCTGCCACAATAACCCTCCACCTCGCCATAGTACGTCGGAGCTCGGCCACTGAGCTTCGCCCACTCTTCACTGATCGGACATCGCCTGTCGTGACCCATCGTCGCTTCCTCTCTCTCTCTCTCTCTCTCTCTGGATATTGATTGAAGCGTCGTCATGTTCTCCCACCCTTGAAGCGTCGGCGTCCCATAACCTTCTTCAATTTCCCTCCAGTCATCTCTAGCACGCCGAAGGAGACGCTATCCAGCATCGAATTCCAACTCATGTGGCTCAGAAACATCCAGCTCGCCAGAAGCCCTCTGCCTTCCATCTCCGCCGCGAACTCTGCGGGATGCATCGTTTGTCGGCGGTCTGGCGGAATGGGAGTGCCGGCAGATTGGGGGAACAACAGCTGTCGGAATTTGGTTGGTCATTGGGACGAGGCAAGAAGTTAAGATTGCGGATTGAAATTGGGGACAAGGGTACAAACGTCAATTTAGTTCAAATTTTAGGGCGACGAATAACGATTCAGATGTTTTGTTCCTACTAAGTTTGATGCTCTGGTGGTTGGCTCCAGAAGATGGTTGAACAAATATACTGTTAAGGATATTAATTACATTTGGTATTTGGATTTGTGTCAAATTCATGGGGTGATTTCCAAATACATGTCTAGTGTATTACTTGTCAACTTCAAATACATTTCAACAACTAGTGATTTGAAATGCCTCATAACAAAAGATTGGACCTATTTGTAAAATATTAAAAGTTTGGACTTTGCTACGGTGACATGCATGTCACGGTGACATGCACTTTTCGGTCGACCTCATATAAGATCAGGTCGACCTAATTAGTTGTTTCAGTGTACAAACAGTTTCATGGTGCCTACTTTGGAAATTCATATCTTACAATTGGCTAGATGGAAATTGGAGATTAAAGGCTTGTTTTGAAGCTGAAGTGTCCCTCTACACATTAAAGTACTTGGGAGCTCAATAGAAAGTCCAGAAGACCATTTTTGAACCTGACCAAAAGGCTATGCCAAAACTGGGAAACTGCCTGAAAATGGCTAAGTCTGGCAACGTGTTTGTCAAGCCTACTTTGGAGCTCAATTTCACAAGCATGGATGCGAGTCAAGTCCAGGGGCCTTTACCACGTTAAATTACGTATTTTTTTATACAAATGCAAGGCATTGAATGAAAGATTGAATATCTTTAAGGCTTCAAACAAAAGGCTCGAAGTTGCTACGAAGGCTGTTTTTCTGGCAGCTTGCTTGTGCTCGAAGTCTGCCAGAAAAACAACCTTCGTAGCAACTTCGACCCTTTTGTTTGAAGCCTTAAAGATATCCAATCTTTCATCCAATTCCTTGAATTTGTATAAAAACATACCTAATTTAACGTGGTAGAGGCTCCTGGACTCGACTCGCATTCATGCTTCTCGAATTGAGCTCAAAAATAGGCTTCACAAACACGTTTCCAGACTTAGCCATTTCTAGGCAGTTTCCCAGTTTTGGCATAGCCTTTTGATGAGGTTCAAAAATGGTCTTCTGGACTTCCTATCGAGCTCTCAATCACTTCAATATGTAGAGGGACACTCCAGCTTCAAAACAAGTCATTAGTCTTCAATTTCCATCTAGCCAATTGTATGATATGAATATCCAAAGTAGACACCATAAACTGTTTTTACACTGAAACAACATATTAGGTCGACCGGATCCTATATGAGGTCGACCGAATCCTAAATGAGGTCGACCGGATCCTATATGAGGTCGACCGAATTCTATATGAGGTCGACCTAATCCTAACTGAGGTCGACCGGAAAGTGCAAGTCACCGTGACATGCATGTCACCGTAGGCACACCCTAAAAGTTTAGGTACTATAGTGTGAGGCAAAACATATAAAGGTACCAAAACGTAATTTTACCACCAAAATTTTAGGACCTTTTTGTAAAATTAGAAAAGTTTAGGTACTAAATTATAAGAAAATAATTTTGGATACCAAACTGTAATTTATCAAAATTTGTAGTAAGTGACCAAAAAATTCAAAATAAAAATAAAAATCATAAAATAAAAATTACAAATGAGTATCCAAACAACGCATTTGAATTACATGTATTTCAAATGCTAATTTCAAATACATCCATTTCAAATGCATGTATTTCAAATACCTTACATTTGAAATGCATGTATTTCAAATACCTTACATTTGAAATACACTTACCCAAACGCACCTTTAGGGGTTGTTTGGAAGTTGTGATTCTTCAAATTGATGTATTGGGACAATTAGTGTATTATCATTTGATGGATTGAATCAATTGATGTATTAAGTAAATATCTTGTTTGGAGGTTTAGATTGTGTTTTTGTTCTAAAGGTAAAAAAGTTAGTATTGAGTGATTGTGGTGGGGCCTCCAAAAAGTAAATGCATGTATTCTAGTTCTATATAAACCAAAAAAAACGCTTTAATCTCATAAATACATGAATTAGATCAATACACCATTTGAAATACACTTACCCAAACAACCCCTAGTGAAGTTGAGTAGAGGGGCAAACAGAGCCTTGATGTTCACCAACCTAAATTTGAATTTTTTTTTTCAATTTTTTTTTTCAAGTTCATTATATACAAATACAAGTAGACTGAACATTATTTAGAAGAGATCAACCACCATATGGCTCACCAATCGACACCATAATTCACCCATCTGCTTCTTTAATTCTCCCCATTCCTTTCACCTCTGTGGTAGCTGGAGATTCAGAATATGATTGAAATGGGTGATGGGGCAATGTTTTGGGAGAAGAAAAGAAACCACGACTCCACGAGTATAATGCCACACATATCCTTTTCCATCTCCAATTAAGTTAAACAACAAGTCGCCAACTTTTGCGACAAACACAGCTCCTTTTCGACAAGTTCGTGTCATTGAGAAAAGTTATATGTGTCTCATAGCTGGATTCTATATTGTTTTTCTGACCATCAGCCAGAAAAACCCACCAAATTAGGAGTTTGCAGGATTCTGATAGTGATTGCGTGAATAGAATATGGTAGTGGTTGTGTAGTTGTAATCATTCGAAAGCACTTGAGGTTGTAATCATTCGAAATTTACTGTAAATAAAATATTAAATACAATCCATTAAAACTTTGATAAAAATTAGGGTTAATATTTTCGTATGGCCTAAACTTTGACCAAAATAAATATCCTGACCAATCTTTTCGATCTATAACATCCTGGCCCGAACTATGCACCAAAATAAATAATTTGGCCAGATCCGACTTTTGACCGTTAACTTGGACGGTCAAACGCATTGACCGTTAGTCAACGCGCCATGTCACTTCCAAGTCAACATAAAATATTTAAAATAATTCACAATTTCCACACATTCCCTAATTTTAAATTATTATAAATTTAAAAAAATCATCTAATACCTTAGTTAAACCAAAAATAAAAAACGAAAAAAAATATATATTTATCAGATCTTCTGACGTGGCAGTGACGTGGCGCGTTGACCGTTAGTCAACGCGTTTGACCGTCCAAGTTAACGGTCAAACATCGGATTTGGCCAAATTGTTTATTTTGGTGTATAGTTCAGGCCAGGATGTTATAGATCGAAAAGATTGGCCACGATGTTTATTTTGGTCAAAGTTCAGACCATACGAAAATATTAACCCTAAAAATTATTATACATATATTTTCTTTTGTAGAGCTTTTATTATTATACCGTGGACCAGCAATAGCTTTCCCTCCCTCTTTATAACTTGGATCAAAACGATGGCGCCATAGTAGCAATTCGCAAGCAGAGAGCAGTAGCCATGAAAGCTTTCGCAGCTTCTTCATCTCTTCCATCTCTTTACTCCCCAACTCAGCTCACTCATGCCCAACTACACAAACCCAATTTCTCAAATTTTGATTCTATTTTCGCACACAATTCGCCATCCCCGCCATTACTTCACATCAGGGCACCCTCAAAATTCAAGCTTTTCTCCTCCCCTGTTTCATTGGACCATGTACCGCTCGAAGCAGCCGACACCGTCACCGCCGCCGCCGCCGCCGGAGAGGAGAAGTTCGACTGGTACTCCCAGTGGTACCCTTTGATCCCGGTGTGCGATCTGGACAAGAAGGTCCCACACGCCAAGAAGGTGTTGGGTTTGGATGTGGTGGTGTGGTGGGACAGAAACGAGAATGCATGGAAGGTGTTCGACGATATGTGTCCTCACCGCCTGGCTCCGCTCTCCGAAGGAAGGATCGATCCGTCGGGAAGGCTGCAGTGCGTTTATCACGGATGGTGTTTTGATGGCTCCGGTAGCTGCAAGCTGATCCCCCAAGCTCCTCCCGACGGTCCCCCAGTAAGTCTTGATTCGATTACCATTAACCTTAAAATCGTGATTGAATGTAGAAGCGATTTGGTGATCTAGAAGTGTGAAAACATTGTAAGAGATTAATTAATAGGTTAACAAATCCTTTATAAACAACTTGAGTTATTGGGATCCGTTGGTTTATGAGTTATGACTTATGACATGGTAAGTGAAAAATGTGATTCTATATGAAAGCGTTTTGGTGACGAAAACGTGTAAAAACGAAGCTTTTAAGTTTTAAAACATGATTTTGACTGTATTGACTACGAAGAACGGATCTTAATGTCAAGACGAACTTGAAAACAAAATTGTAGGTTCACACCAACAAAAGGGCTTGTGTTGCAGCTTACCCAACCATTGTGCATCATGGCATGGTGTGGTTTTGGCCCAACTCTGATCCTCGGTACAAGGACATTTTTGAGAAGGAGAAACCTCCTTTCATTCCGGAGTTGGATGATCCATCGTTCACGACGGTGATGGGCAGTCGAGATCTGCCTTATGGGTATGATGTATTGATAGAGAACCTTATGGATCCTGCTCATCTTCCCTACGCGCATTATAAGCTTGGACCAACACAGCCCTTCAAGGGTAAGTTCGATTTCTGATGGGTTCATGATTTGAGTTTCTTTCTAGTTTCAAGGAGTTCAAGTTGAAAGTTGGTTTCTTTCTCAGAAATGCGCGACAGAGAAGGCGGAAGACCACTTGATTTTGTGGTGAAGAATCCAGGGATAGGAGGATTTGATGTGGATATGGGATTCGGTTGCATTAATTTCCATGCACCTTGCATCATTTCTTACCATACTGCTCTGCCTTCTGGAACCGATGAGGTAACTTAAACTGCATCTCATTGAGAACTGGGCATGAAAACTATTTGCTGATGCGCTCTTCGGTGTTGTATTGTTGTTCTTGCAGGAGCGGAAGACGGCATTAATATTCATCTGCATTCCTGTCAGTCCGGGCAACAGTAGATACATTTGGGCTTTCCCAAGGAATTTCGATACTTGGGTTGACAAAATTTTGCCCAGATGGATGGCACACATGGCAACGAACGTGCTCTTGGATTCCGATCTGTATCTTCTTCATGTAGAGGTGACTTTTCTCTGAAACTTTTGAGTGAAGTATCACATCAAATAGACTCGTCACTTGATCAAAATTGCACAATCAATGCTCTTATAACGCGATAGTTTAGTGAACATTCAAGCATTTAACCTGCGAAAACGAATCGGTTAAGCATTGACAGAGCACAACGAATTGATCAACAGGAACGTAAAATCAAGGAAAAAGGGCCTGCGAATTGGCAGAAGGCATGTTTCTTGCCGATCAAGTCTGATGCTCTGGTGGTTGGCTTTAGACAATGGTTCAACAAATATGCAGATAGTAAAGTCGACTGGGGAAGCAGGTGTACTGATGATCTTCCTCCAACCCCGCCAAGAGAACAACTTATGGATAGGTACTTTCAAGAAATTAAACTAGTACTGTTAATCCAGTTTCAATCTGAACCCGTTCGAGCACATCTATACCGTCTAATTTGCTACTGTGATCAGGTACTGGAGCCATGTGGTGAACTGCAGTAGCTGCAATCGAGCATACAAGACTCTGAACGCTATCGAGACCGTGCTCAAGGTCGTCGCAGTTGGATCGATCGCCGTTGCTGCAGCAGCTGCACAGGGGATGTTGTCGGGGGCTGCGAGAACCAAACTCGCAGTCTTCGCTACAGCCTGCTACGTAGCTTCGAAGTGGCTGGCTTATTTCGTTTACAACAACTTCCGCTACCATGACTACAATCACTCGGTTCCTGAGAAGGTGATGCTTCTTGCTCGAATTTGGAACGTCGGTGCTGCTTAATTAGTAGCTGTAGCCGTGCGGTGGGGATGCAGAATGGTTTGCTCACGATCTTGGCGAATGACCATTGTCATAAAACAAATCAATTCCTGAAAAAATGTTACAGTAGAGTATTTATGTTGATCTGCTCCAATTGTTGTACAACCAGAAACAGCTTTGTCTCTGTTTCCTCGATGGATGAGTGATGATTTCGATTCAAACCCTTTCGAATAAAGGTCAATGCTTGATGCTTATGAAACCTATGCTACTTGCAAAGATTCTTCATGGAACCCTCTGTTTCTACTGCTATAACTACTGCGCATCCTCTGCAAGTGGAAGGGAGACAAGGAGTAATGGCCGTGCTAAGCTGGCTTACCATTCTTCTGTCCACTAGCCAAACCAAACTTGTCTCCAATATTAGGGTAAATTGCATGGTTGGTCACTGTGATTACTAAAAACGTTCACGTTTGGTTACTAAAAATATTTAATTTCATTCGTGGTCACTAAAATTAGTTAAAGATTTCAAGTTTGGTCACTCTCCGTTCAACTTCGTTAAATTTTGCTTATGTGGCAGTCAACTCTTATAATTGACCGTTAAATGTGTGACATGACAATTAAAAAATTAAAAAAAATTTAATTTTTAAAATTTTCACCTCATTTCTAACTATTTAAAAAACCCTAGCGGCTCCGTTAAATTTTAACACAACTAACCCTAGCGGCTCCCCTGCATTTTCCCACCGCCGCCTCTCAATGTCTCTTCTCGCCGCCGCCTCCACTAGCTGGTGAAGAGCTCCCTCCCTCCAATTCACCTCTCTTTCTCTCTCTCCTCTCAGCTACATTCGTCGTTCACTCTTTCGCCCGCAAGATCGCCGCCAGAGAAGGTGTGGAGCATATGATATTTGAGTCACAAATCCATGACGCAAATCCAATAAGCAAACGATATTTGGGTCTTATGACGACCTCCTTTTCTTGTTCCAGAGGGGACAAGGTGGCTTCTACCTTTTCACTACTACCATAAACTCCTTCATATGGAGTTGTCGATTTTACCATGGGTATGCACGTGCTACGTTGAGACATATATTACTATCTTATACTATAGTGGTAATGTTTGATGGTACATAAAAGTATACTATGGTGGTATGCTAGGAGATCGTGTTGTATGAATACATGATGGTGTAGAATTACTGTATATATGATAGTAGGAATATATTAACTAGAAGTGTCAAAACAGAACACAACTTGAGTAATCTGTTCATTCAACCCTACCTACAACCCCGCCATAACTGGGTTAACTAAAAAATCAATGACCCAAACCTGCCTATCCCACAAACTAGTTTCTTAGAACTCGATAGACCAGCAATCCTAAGAACTCGCAACCCAACAAAACTATAATCCGATAAACCCATAATATGTCTGACCCATAACTCAATTAACCCAACCCCGTTTGGCCTGATAAACTATGAATAAAGTTCATTATTTCAAGTAATGGTTCACATTGTTAGAAGTTGATTAATGTATGATTTATATATTATTCTCTAGTAGTTTTGCAACATATTTCCACAATGATCAAATTATTGACACTCCAAACTTTAATTCAAGTTATTGACTAACGTATGCTACTATTAGGACATTTTGAGTTCAAAATAATTAATTTATAACACCAATTATGACCTATTGATCTAGAGGAGAAATTGCTGGCTCGCCTTTAGGGTTGGAAGCAGCGGACTCTGTCTTGGACGGCGAAGGAGATTTTGATTAAATCAATCGCTTTAGCTTTGCCCTTACATGTTATGTCCTGTTTGAAGCTTCCCCTCTCGCTCTGCCGCCTCTTGGACAAACATGTAGCGAGATTTTGGTGGGGTGTGGAGGATGGTCGGTCAAATATTCGTTGGAAGTCTTGGAGGAACATGTGAAGAAGTAAGCATGAGGGTGGAATGGGTTTTCGGGGATTTGAGCATTTCAATCAGACACTTTTAGCCAAGATTGGGTGGCACATCCTAAATGACCCAGCCTCGTTGCTTGCCCAGGTTTATAAAGGAAAATATTTTCCCATTAAGAGTTTCATTGAGGCTACTGTGCTCTCTCGTTCATCTTGGGGATGGCAAAGCATCCTGTTTGGCAGACAACTGTTGGTTCAGGGGGCTACGATGGCAAATTGGTAATGGCAAGAAAGACCCGCTGTTGCATTCCAGTTGGGTGTCTCGAATCCATCCCTGGCCCCTACCTATAACCCCCAGGTCTTGCCTGATGAAGGGGACCTGTGTGTTGCGAAAGTTATTTTCCAAGGGGAAGAACATTGGTGTGATTCAAAGCTTAGACAGTGGTTTGACCCGCCTACTTGTAGGGCTATCAAGGAAATCCCTCTTCCGAAAATGGATGTTGCGGATCGACTTGTCTGGCATGATACGCCTGACAGTTCCTTCACTGTTAAATCAGCTTATCACTTGGCAGACTCGCTGGATAGAAGGGTTGGTCATTGGCGAGCCATGGCTAGTTAGATGGATAGGGGAAGCTGGATCCGCTGTGGGACGCTAATATTCCCCCAAAATTGAAAGTTTTCCTCTGGAAAATCTTTAACCATATCCTGCCAACGACAGAAGCATTACTTGAAAGAGATGTCCAAGTCCATCCCAGGTGTCCAGTTTGTTGGGCGAAATCAGAAATGATGGAACATTTGTTTCTGGAGTGCCTTGTGGCTAGAGTCTTGTGGGGATTATGCGGGCTTGGAATATCTTGGACAAGGGCTTTCTCGTCACACTTTCCCACTCTTCCTGAAAAGGTTGTTGCTGCTCATCCATCAACCTCAGCTGCTTATGGCGGTCATTGCAGTGCTTTGGAGGATCTAGCGGTCACGGAACTGGGTTGTCTTTGAGGGCTAACATTTTGGGATCCCAGCTTTAATGAGGCAGTATCACCAACACCTCCATGAATGGGTAAGCTTGCCGGTTGATAAAAATCAGCGGGTGCCCGTCCCTCTCATTCCGCCTTTGGGGGTGGTACACCCTAGTGCACTGGTCTGTAGGTGGGATGGGGCTACCAATCGTGGGTCTCATTCGACACGAGGGATGGTTATCATGGATCAAGTTGGGGAGATCATTTTGGCTAATGGGGTTTGTAGGTTGGCGTAGTAATAGGTAGCCCACTTGGTTGCTAGGAAGACCCTTCAATTATACCCTACTACAAGTCGTTTATTCGATTTTGTAGGCTGGTTGCGCTCTGGGATGTAATTATCTATTTTATTGATCAATATATAATGATCTTTTGTAAAAAAAAAACCTATTCAACTGATTGTATGAGCTAATTTTAGGTAAACTATCACTCAACAAAATCATATCTCTAGTCAACAAAAAGATATCATCACCTTCAATCACTCAAATTATTTCTATAATCATTTAACTTTATATCCCATGATTAATTTGTAATAATGAAGAATAAGAACAAAGGATAGCAAACAAAAAAGAGTCATTCTCTTTGATATTTTTTTAAAAAAAATATACCACGTACAGACGTACTTTGAATTTTTCCTCTATTTTATGTTGCCAAAAGTTTGGTGGTTGACAAATCTTGGGCCACCAGTGGGAAAACTCATTGATCAAATTAGGGTTTGAAATTTATATATGTACTAGTACGGAAGCCCGCGCTTCGCGGCGGGAGGATTAGAGTGTTTGATCTTCGAATTCATAAGTGAGGGGGGAAATATGAAAATAGAGTTATTATAATGCAATCAAACAATCATGATTTGTCAATAATCATGAAACAAATACTAATGAGCTTGTCAAATGAATACTTAACCTGACAACTGATATCGTAATCAACTCAACACCTCAGGTGTGGAAGGCAATGAATCCTACAATTTCTTTGCTTACATGTTCAATGCATAGAAAACAAATGCTGCACCGAAATGAGCATTCGGTTCTTGAATTTCTGAATAAATATTAACACAGATGCCACCCTGTGCAATAACAATAGAAAAGGTCAACTGGAGCTAAACATAACTACACTTTGAAGTTGTCAAGCTAATAGCAAGACTGTAGCTTGTGCAAAGGGAAATCAGGGTGGCTCCCATCAGGCTACATTGAGAGGCGCTAGCGTATTCCTGCTGCTAAGTAAAGCTTTATTAAAGTCGGACTTCCCTTTCTGTTCTCCTGTACCACAGTTGGTGCAGCCTGTCTGAAGACAAAAACCAATTCTCAAAGAACTAATAAAAACTGTGTCAAAAATTATGCATCCTTGAAATATTTCAATAGACTATTTTAATCTGTATGATAACTTTATGTTGGTATTCAACTACATATACAACTGACAACTAAAAAGGTCACACCTTCCTATTATGTTAAAGGAAAATTTTGAAACATGAAGACGAAACCAAAAGGGAATATGGTGGAGTAAAGAACTAAGAACGGGAGGCTCGTAAGCAGGCAAGGCAAAACGAACTGTTGAACACAACAATATAGAAGGAACATATTCAAAACTGGTAGAAATTAATAAACCGACCATCTCAAGGATAAGACTTTCTGTCAATTTGTAACATGAGTGGCTGCATTAGATATTGGGCACAACTGAGCAAGGCAAAGATGAAGACTCACCAACTCTGCTCCAGGCTCCAGCGGACCAAAAAACTGCAAGAATAGCCCGTTCAAATAAATCATATCAAATGGTAAATACAATAGAACACCATGATCAATATTTTTATTAGAATGTTTCAACTCTAACCATCATATTCATCATAATAATAATGATAATAATTAACTAAGTGTCCTTAATTAATTGACTTCCAGAAGAGTTTAATTGTCCGTTATGGCGCTCCAAATCTCATCGTGATGAAGCAGCATGGAACACACACGCACTTTCCTGAGAAAGGATCATTACCAATGTTTCTAACGCGAAAGACCTTCAAGCACTATTGCACAACCCAATATAAGTAGACGACTCTATAGTAGAATTGACTTAAGAAGAAAGGCCAGCAAGCAGTGCAGCAGGAAAATTCCCAGTAAATTAATTCATCTTTGCCAACTTCAAGAGCACAATAACCCACAAGCCATAGAGGAACTACATAGTGCAAAATACAGTGCATACATGGCCCTATTATGTTAATTAAGTTCTATACCATAACGCGTGTCTGTCTATGTATTTTGGATATAATCTGTCTAACCAAATTAGCTTGATTCCAGACGAAGAAAGCACAAATTTGTGTTGCTCTATGCTTCTATCTCTGGAATTGTACATCTGTAGGCAACAACTGCAATTCACGGGCAAGAGCGAGTTGAGAAGAAACAAAGAAAACATAGACAACTTAGAACATTCATGTAATTCACCTGAAAAAGAACATTCAAACAGTTTGATCGGCAAAGGTCCGCTCACTATAAAGTGTGTTTCAAAAACAAAAGGTATCCAGTCAACCAGAAGGAAAATAAGAGCTAATTGCTGGCAAAAACCAAATTGTACTGTGAAATGCAAAGGGTTACCATAGT